GAAATAGGAACAGCAGACCAGGCGGACGGCCTGGTCAAAAAGTTGATGTCGTCCAAGGACAGGAATGGACTCATCCTTAAGGATTTTGTGAGCCATGCCTGCGCAGGAGCAGGAGCAGACTTGTTGGCTTGGGCGGAGGAGTATTGCAGCATGGGGGACTTGGTGAAAGACCAACTCTGCTACTATCAAGGCCACCAGTGCAAACCCGGCGAGTCCTTCCATGAACAGCTAGGGCGACAGCTTTCAGAAGACTTCCGGGAGAGTGGACAGGCGCTTGCAGAACAAGGGGCAATTCAAGAGGGCTCAGAACTGGCGGAGGGAAGTTCATCAGCTGTAAATGCACTCTTCCAGCTAGTTTGTCATTTGATGACACTGCATGAGGCATGCACGGCGGCCTCGGACAGCAGCCAGACCGACCTGATGTGGAAGGTCAAAATTGGAGTGAACGAGAGTGGGGCATGCACCAAGTTTCACGATGATCTCATTGACGTCCGCTTTGCCATCCCCCTTGCTGGCGACGGCACTGTACTCGCAAAGAACCCGGAGATTGATTGGGAATTCTACGACTCTAGTGGTGGTGTCATCCCCGATTTAGATACAATGAAAGCTGCTGCTGCAGAGGCTCTGGTCCATTCCTGGAACCAGCGTGTTTGCAAAGGTGTGCTGCCGACTGAGAGAGGTGACCTTGCGATAATGAAGGGGGGGCGGCTCACTGATCGGCCGTGTCTGCATCGAGCACCCTATTCTGCAAGCGAGGGATCGCAACCAGCTCGGCTTCTGATTACCTTGGACCACATTCCCAAAGATGAGCTTCAGGAGTTCGTGAAGATGGATTTTGAAGATGCAGAAGAGGAAGAAGAACACAAACACTGCGATCATGAGCACGATGCTTGCATGCATGCAGATGATGCGGAGCCTTCCGGTCCTCTTCTGCCAGTCACGGTTCTCAGTGGCTTCCTGGGCGCTGGCAAGACCACCCTCCTCACGCACATGCTGCAGAATCAAGATGGACTCCGAGTGGCGGTGATCGTCAATGACATGGCTGAGGTCAACATCGATGCCATGCTGGTCAAAACTGGCGCGGAGGTCCTTACCGTGAAGGACAAGATGATCGAGATGCAGAATGGCTGCATCTGCTGTACATTGCGCGAGGACCTCATTGAGAACGTGACGCAGTTGGCCAAGGAGGGGCGATTTGACTACCTGGTCATCGAACCTAAGTCATGAATATAAATGGTTTGGGGTAGGGGGGGGTCTTGAGAAATAAGATGCAATTGCAACTCTGGTTCATTTGCAGTAGGCGCCTCTCTTCCAAACAAAAACGTCGTCAACCACGAACACCAGAATAGGTTCATGTTATCCAAGATCCTCGATAGAACACCCTATCACATTCCATCCAGATGCTCCCTATAAAGCCCTACATCATGGCCATATGGGCGCTTCTCAACAAGAGTTTTTTGTTGAGCAGTCGCAATCCTCATGCCCAGGGTATTCCGAATTTGAACAACTCCAAGCTGTGAGCCCAAACCTTAAACCTAATCCACCAACCCTCAAGCCCACATAAACTTGCCATTATTTAGGGTCCCCAAATTTCCTTAATTTTAAAACTTCCAAATCAAAATGCCCCCAAACCCTAAGTAATGGTAATAAACCTTAAACTTCACCATAAAACCCTATCCTGAAGACACCAAGAAGACACTCAGGAAAGTACAGGCATTTCAGAGCCAATGCCGGTTGCGACCACCTTCGTCAGTGAGCATGATGGTAGGACTGGGCCGGGCTTATAGTCCCCCTCAAGTAGATAGAATATGTGTTTAGGGTTTAAGGTTTAGGGTTTAAGGTTCAGGGTTTAAGGTTATAGATAGAATATGGGGTATATGGGGATCTTATTAAAATACACCCAAAGCCATATTCTATCTTCTTAAGGGGGACTATGGTGTTTGGGGCTTGGTGTTCTGGGCGCCGGGGTTAGATCTTGAAGGGCTTTAAGGCCTCAGGGTTCAGAGTTTAGAGTGAACATCCCTAAACCCTAAAGCCTACACCGTGTACATCCTAAACCGCAGAATCAGCCCACCATGATAGGAAGTCGAAGATTTACTGCTGGAAGGCTCAAAGCGCGTGAGGCCTCCCACCCGCCCTCGGAATGCTAAACCGGTCCTATCTGATAATGATGTTCACCCTAGCATATCATAGAGTATGTTCCAGATTCTTCATAACCCCTAAACGCTGAACCTCTAAACCCCCCTAAACTCTATAAGCCCTATAGCTTGAGGGTTCAGGAGCCTCAGTTCTAGGGCATATGGGGACGGATGACCAGGCTCTGCCTCTGCAAGATATGCCCAAACATAGCTACATGAGCTAAAGTCTAAACTCCTTAAAGGGGGATATATAGGGGACTTATATAGGGGTTATTAAGGGGGATACTAGGAGTTTAGACAGTAGCTCACATCATGGGTAGCTAAAGCTATCAACAAGGCCTCTCTGAGCTTCAGAACCCTCTTTCATGTACACATAACCCATATCAACTTTTATAGCCTCACAGAAGCCTATTTTGGGCCATAGTATAGATGTTTATGATCATTTAATACATACCCAAGGGATCCCTCAAGGACGCCTCATTTTGAAAACTCCGGCTGATCACTGTTCGTGAGGAAGTTGCTTGGGAGCGTTGCACGGCTGGATACGCTGGTGACCGTGGCTAGGTGCCCCAGTAGTACCTTTTTCCCCTTGTTTTTATCTGGGGGTCTCGTTATTAAAGCTGAATATCAAGAAAAAGAGTAACCCATATTATGAAGGGGATACTGGGGAACCTAGGTGGTGGATGCCGTGAACTTTCTGCAGCCTGGTTGGCCTTTTTAGGGTTTAGGGGTTTAGGGTTTAGCCTTCAGGGGTTCAGGGCTTAGGTTGGGCATAATCGGGATTATATACGAGTGAGGTAAGGAATTAATGGGTCTGGGGGGACATGTAATTTCAACAATGGAAAAGAATGTGAAGTGAAAACTGGGTGTACAGGATGGTTTACAGCAGTGCTTTCAACAAGAGGACTCCATTTAGGGCGGTCCTCATAGCAAGGACTATCGTAGTTTGGGCTCTATATTGCCAGCCCCCTTCTTTATGGAAACTACCAGGTTCTTTTGCTCCTATGGGGATGCTCTCCAAATTTCCATCCTACCTGAACCCTAAACCCGAACCCTCAATGAGCCTCAACCCTAGACCCTTATGGGGTTACACATCCACAAGGCCCGAGCTTGAGTCGCTTCTCTGCACTGCCTGTCAACGTAGGAATGGGTCCTTGTTTGTGGGAACCTCGGCTTACCATCCCATGCAGAGAAAAAGAGGTGCCCGGCCATGGGTCTACAATTATCCAGCTCTTTCTCTTGAAGTGAAGAAGAACTTCATCATAAAGCTTTGCTTCGACGGGCCAACCTCCGAACCCTAAACCAAACAGGCCCACCCAGGAAAGATTACGATATGGGG